AAAAAAAAAAAAAAAAGGAGAAGAGGAAAAAAGCCGGGGGGGAGGAAGAAGAAAACAGCGAAGATTAAAATGTTTTTCAGCGCCTTCCCCCGTCTTGTCCTCCGGTGTTACCAGCTGACCTAAGGCCAGCTGCAAGTCCCTGTGTCCTCACCTTCCAGAACTAGAAGGGATCAGAGTAATGCTGTTCCTACCGCTTCACCTGAAAATAACAGTGGTGTAAGGGAAAGGGAGCAGCATATCATATCAATGCCTGGAACTAGAAGGGATCTCAAGAATCCATGCCCGGGGTGGGGGGGGGGGGGGGGGCAATAAAGGAAGTCAAGAAAGAGTCTTTGGCAGCAGGAGATGGATGGATGTGCTGGAACAGAATTGATTAATGGAGAATATAGAGAGATATGGTTGAAGCAGGGACCAGGAGTGGAGGTGCAGGACCAGGAGCACAGGCTGGGGGCCTGTGGGGCTGCTGGGACTCAGCACTGGGCAGTGCCTGACCCCACCGGCCCGGGCAGGGGCAGCAGCAGCTGCGGGCCCTTTGAGGCTGCGGGACACCCTGGCTGCCTGTGGTGCTGCCAGCTGTGCCCGCCAGGAGCCCTGGGGCTGGGAGGAGCTGTTTGGACAATGTGGCAGGACAGGGACTGGCTCTGGTATTCGGTGTGTGATAAATGTAACTTTGGAAAAAATTTGTGAAAGAAGAAATAAGTATATAACTGTATTTATAACAATGTAGACCACATAAAAATATAGTGTGGCCTAAAGATTCCTCCCCAGACCCAGCAGTAACTACCTATTCAGGCAATAACGACCCTAAGCCATGCTTATCAGCCTGAGAGAAAGAGCAGAACACGGGCCATCAGGCTAGACAATGAGAGGAGCCCAGCCGAGATGCTCACCGGCTCCACATCAAATCTGGATACCCCACCCCATGAGCCACGACCGAAAAAGCAATCTAACTAAACAATGAGAGAAGCCCAGCTGAGATACCCATCTGCTCCACACTGGACCTGGACACTTCTCCCTGAGAGTCCAACCAAAGATACAATCAGAAATCAATCAGAACTTTTCATAAACAAAAAGACTCTGCCCAGTTGTCTGTTGATTCAGTTCGAAGGTTCCAGGAAATCTATTCAACCAACCATCTAAACTCTTTGTGGAACAGTGACTGCTCGGATTTTAGACTCAGGACACAAAACCCCTATAAAAACCCTAGACAGTCAACCCTCCATGTGGATTTGGGTAAATCTGTACCTCTGGGTATAGACCCCTGTCCACCCAGCGCTGCGCTGATCTATTTTATTGTGTTTTTTTCTCACATTTGTGATTGAAATTGTTTTATAATAAATCGCTGTCTATATTAATCATATTTTTCCATTGCATTTATAACAGGTGTGTGGTAAATAGAGTGAGCACAAGGAGGAAAGGCGAAGGTGATAGCCTTTTTCAGGCCAGAGAAGGAAAAACCGCAAGGTCCAAGGGGTCCCCCGGGACAGAGGGGACGGGATCAGCCACAAGGAAGTGGCAGAGGCGTTCTCTCCCCAGCAGGGGAGACCCAAGCCAAACAGTGGTTGGGAAAGGATCAGTGTGCTGTCTTCAAGGCGTAGGACACTGAAAACGGCAATTTCTGCAACAAAAAGCCAAAAACAACTGGACTGCCGAGGAAGTCCAGAAGATAAGAGAAATAGATTGTTAAGAGTGTCAAAAGCTCTCATTATATCCACCAACCTAGAGCCGTTATCAGTTTGGAGGGGACCACACCCTTCTGCTTTTTGTATGTTTTGTTGTAAAAAGCCAGAATTGGCAAGTTTCAGTTATGAAGCCAATGCTGCAAGTCATATCTTGTGGGGAACATCCCCACCAGTCTGTGGTTTGTTGTAGCCCTAAAGCAAATTCTGTAACTGCAACCTTGTAAAAAAATATTAGAGTTTCCTTAATGGAAGTTAATTTGTTAGTCATCTCCTTATGCCTAAGATGGACTTAATGTAAAAATTGAGATAAAGAGTGGTTAGTTACTAAAAAGAAAAAAAAAATAAAGAAATGTAATGTAATTGGCTTGAAGCAGTGGCATTACTTGCTGCTGAACTAAATCATGTTTATACAAAGTCACGCAAAAGAAATTTTGGTTCAGGAGCATGGGAGAACACAGACACCTGTTGCCTATTTTTCTAAAATGTTAGACTCAGTGGCCAGAATCTGGCCCCATTGTCTGCAGAACTGCGCAGCCACGGCTCTGATAATGGCTGAGGCCCGAAAGCTGACAAGGTGGGGGGAGGCCTTGAGCTGTAAGTCCCTTCCAGAGATACCAAGTAGGTTTTACTGAGATGCCCCAGGTGAAGAGATTTTTTTGGTAATAGTATGTCTGTTATAAGTAGTCAGAAGTGTTCCCAGGTGTTTCCGCAACTACAGGGTCAATTATTAAAGTCTTTTTTTTAAAAACAAGATCAGGTCGAGTTGAAAAGATGAATGGAAAAATAAAGAAGCATCTTCTAAAGCTGATGATAGAAACTGATATGCCATGGGTGCGGCTCTTGACACTAGCTTTAGCAAGAGTAAGAGCCAGACCGAAGAGAAATATTCAACTATCTCCCTTTGAACTGATGTTTAGAATTCCTTATCCTTGTAAGTCTCGGCCTGGGTCAGGAGTAAAGTGATGTATATTTAGAACAATTTGTGGCCTGCATACTGTCTCTTGTGAAATTTATTCAATAGGAAACTCAGCTGGCACAGACCCTGCCTTTGGACAAGTGAAAACCAAGAGACTGAGTCCTAGTTAAGGAGTGGAAAGAAGCACCACTGGTGGCTAAGTGGCGTGGACCTTTCCAGCTGTTGCTGAACACAGAAACAGCCGTCAAGAGAGCTGAACACGGACATCTCAGCTGGAGGAGAAGGATGGGAAGCCGCGACTGACACTCCGCAGGAGTGGACTGGAGCAGTAGCTGGTGTGTCGACATCGGGGGAAGCCCTGAGTGCCTACCCACAGACTGCCTGTTGAAATGGTCTGTATGGGCATCCCTACTCTCAGATCTCCAGACACTGTGAGCCAATCCACGCTGTCATTGCCTTCTTTATGCTAAGCTGTTTCTGTGTACCACCACAGGTGGTGTAGAAGACAAAGTGAAATTGAAAATTAGAAATTAGACTATAACTCTATTAGAATGTTTCTCTTAATAATTTTACCTTTATATTTTCAGTTAAGTTGGGGTCTAAAGTGGGAAAATAATTTTTTTACTTTAGGAGAACAAGTAGCAAAGACTTTTAACCTTAAAAACTGTTGGGTCTGTGGAGGGCCAGGGGGATCTGAAAGCTGGCCATGGGTGGCCAGCCCAGTCGAGCCTAAATGGTGGGTTAGCACCCTGAGTGAAGTCCATAATGGAACTGGATTTTGGGACAAAGAAGGAAGTCCATGGCAGCTTCATTCTTCTGAAAGAGGCATTTATTGCTTAAACAGAACAGGAAGCACATATGTGGGAAAGAGCGTTTGTGACTGGACTTTATCTTTAGGTTTAGATTGTTGGGCCCCCAACTGCCCTCCTTATGACTGTTCCAGATATAGAGGCAGATGGAATCAAACGCATGTTAAGCTCACTAATGGTAGCTGGGTAAGGTGTTCCTTCCATAATTACAAAAAGATTTTGAAGGCTGTAAAGCAGTGGGGAAGGATAAGTTTTTTGACCCTTTATTTTTAAGCTGTCCCCGGGATAATTCCACAAGTCAGACACATGTTGTCCAAGACTATCAGTGGAAATGGCAACACCGGAATGGAACTAGAACCCTTTTTAACAGGTTCTGGTCCAGATCTAATAAAACATATCTGGGATGTGATTGCAAGTGGAAACCTCATGTAGGAGCTTGGAAATGTAAATATTGTGATTCTTATGGTGAGGCAACTATTGTTGGTGGACCCCTAGGCCCGGGAAGCAAGCTGTATTTTGACCCACCAGTTGATGATAAAAATTGGAAAGGTCCTTTCGCTAATGGGACCTGGGCTCTAAAGGGGCATTACTGGATTTGTGGTCAAAATGCTTACCGCAGGCTACCCCCAAAGTGGTCAGGAATATGTTATGTGGGGTATATTAGACCATTGTTCTTTCTGCTACCACAAGTTCAAGGAAATCAGTTAGGAATCAAAGTATATGATGATCTAATTAGAGAGAAGCGGTCCATTGATACATCCCTGGTTGGAAGGAGCATCCAAAAGTGGGGAAAAGATGAATGGCCACCTGAACGGATCATACAACACATATGGACCAGCTACCTGGAACCCAAATGAATTAATATCAGGTGCCAGAGAACCCATTTATAATTTAAATCAGATAATTAGGTTGCAAGCTGACTTTGAAATAATAATCAACCAGACAGCTACAGCTCTTGACCTTCTTGCTGACCAGTCTATTCAGATGAGAAATGCAATATTTCAACACCGGATGGTATTAGACTATTTATTAGCAGAAGAAGTGGGGGGGTGTGTGGAAAATTGAATGACTCAAACTGCTGTTTGCAAATAGATGACAATGGAAAAGTGGTAAAACAAATAACAAAAGGAATAAGAAAGTTAGCCCATGTACCGGTCCAAACATGGAAAGGATGGGAATGGGACATGTTTTCATGGTTACCTGGTGGCCTATAAATCAAACAAATGCTTTTTTTCCTCTCATGTGTTGTAGCAACTCTAATCCTTTTACCGTGCATGATCCCTTACTTAATACAACTCATTCAACATGTGATCAAAAGAATGCAGGTAGTAGCCGTGCCTACTGATCCAGAGATGGCTACAAAAGGGCAGAAAATAATGCTACTGCAAATAATTGCAAAGCCAAAAAAGACCCAAGAACAAGAAATTAGGCCAATGATAACTAAGGTTTGTAAAGACAATTATTAACAAAAATTAAAAGAGGAGGGATTGAGAGTAATGACGGGTTTGTCTTTACAAACAAACTGTGGATCTGCTGATAAGATGTAGCTATCAGTGAGAGACGACAGAAACAATGGGATGGATTCCAGTAGAAGATCAAAGAGGCACTGAAAGAACACTATGAATTCCATAAAAGTTAAGAAGGGATTATGCATTGGGGGTGGGGGGGGGAAGGTACCCCAGGTGTCAGGCGTTCCGGGAAGCCTGTACCTCTCAAGTACCTCAGCCTATGGGGAAAGAGAGAAGGGACAAGCGGCCGGGAATTAGGATAAAAAGGAGGCTGCGCCCTCCAAAAATTTGAGAGACCCCAGGGGAATGCCCCATGGCCTCTCCCTTTATTCGAATAAAGAAAAAGGACTCCTCTGTCTCCTTTTTCGACATAAACCTCTGGTGTTCGTGGATTAATTTTCCTGACACTCCCCCCAGGCGCCCCTTTCGTTACATGAAGCCTGAGGGGAGTTTAAAATTTGCCCTTCATTTTAACTTCTTAATATTTAAATTTACATTCATCCTAAAAATCGAAGTTTATCCTTTCTAATTTTATGCAGAAATCGTCAAATTTTTTGATTTTCTGAGGGTTTACAGCCTTTTTGCCCTCAGACCCATGTGCCTACACCCCTCCTTTTGTTGTGCAGCGCCTAAGGGGAATATTAAATTTTCCCTTCAATTTTTCTATCTAAACCATTAAATTTATTTTAAGTATTTTTTTTTACAACACATAAGTAATTAAATTCAAGTTCTGAGTGCTTTTTGAGGGGGATATTTGCTGTAAAAATGGGAATTTTAGGCCCTTTTCCTTGCACCAAGCTTGAGTGGGCTTTAAGACTTTGCATCCATTTTCACATTTAAATAACAAAATATGACTTCTATTTTGCTTTTTACAACTAAAAAAATAAAATTTTGCTGTGATTTTTTAAGGATAAATCTGTTAATTTTATTTTCAGGTGGGAAATTTTTCTCCTCAGCAGGGTTTTGGTGCTTTTGGGTGGCTGAAGCACCAAATTTTCCTTTATTTTGTGCTGAAATTTCACTATTTCTGCTCTAAAATCAAAAATAACTCCAAAGCATCTAATTAAATTGTTAAAATTTATGTAAGGTGGTTTTTATTTTTTTTTTCTGTAGTTAAAAGCTTCCTGACAGTAATTAATAGCTTTAATCAGTTGATTTCTTAATTCTAATAGCATAAATCAATTGATTTCTCTATTCAAGGATATTTTTGTTCTTGTAAAGTGTTAATTTTTTGTTTATTTGAAGGTATTGAATTATTTTTTATAACAAAAAGTCTCTTGATATCAAATGAATGCATTTTATAAAAGATGTTTAAATATTTTCACTTTTTATAAAATTTAGGTTTATAAACCTTAATATTTTAGGTATGAAGAGAAAACATTTTTTCTCATTATTGGTTAATAAAATGCTTTTAATTATAGAAATAAGCATAACGATAAAATCAGTTTATTGATAAATAATTTGGTGTTGGTTGGATTTTAGTTATGGAAATAGATGTGGAATAATAATTTACGTTATTAATCATTAAAGGATTA